CCATCGGGCCTAGTGCACTGTGCGCTGCAGGCTTGCCCATCGGGCCTGCTCCTGCTCCTGCAGCACAGGTTTCCAACCTCATCATGACTCTGGAGCACACAACCAAATTTGCACTCTCTCCTGACACATTTCTGGATAAAGAGGTCCATGGCTTTAATTAAAACTTTTGAAATGAAGAAAAGTTACCATTGTTATTTCTGATCTCATGGAATTGCCTACCCATGAGAGACTTTTTTTATGTTGAATAGTGTTCTAAATTAAGGCTCATTTAGCTCCACCCCTGGAGATGAAGATCCTTCCTGAAGTAGGGTGTTTGTCTGGGTTGGAAGTCTGCAGCAGCTCTCCACAGCCAAGGTACCTGATTACTGTTTAAAAGTTCCTTCCATTCTAGCTAAGGCAAACTTGTTCTACAGGACTTGCTTGAAAGACGCATGTATTGGCAACATCTGCCTGGTTTCTTTTTTAATTTAATTATGAAACATATCTAAACATGTTCTGGCAGCTTGAAGAGAATTATTCTTGAGATGTTCAAAACCACAGTGACTACCACACTAAATAATGCTTTGTACAACAAAGACCTACTGTGTGCCTTCTCCTTGCCAAGTGTTAGTTAGGCTCTAGAGCCTCAGACTACAGCAGTCCCTGGTCCTAGCTGGCCTTTAATGCATTGCAGCCAGAGAAGAGTGCCTGTGGACCCATCAGCTTTGCTCATTATCCACGAGGTTGTGTGTCATGTCTCCCTGAGAACACAGAAACATCAGAGGGACCCTTTCTTTTCATCCTTGCCTCCTCTAGCCTTATAACATACAACCAGGATATTCTGGGCCAAACTGAACAGGGAAGAGTTAAAATTCTCAGTAATAAAGAATTCTTACAATGTTGTCATAGTCCCTTCCCCTCTAGCTCCCTGGGCAGCTTTGGGGGTCACATGTCAGATATCCTGCATATTACATATTTATACTACAACTCATAGCAGTAGTAAAATTACACTTATGAAGTAGCAGTGAATTTACTGTTATGGCTGGGGGTGGCCACAACATGAGGAACTGTATTAAAGACACACAGCATTACCAAGTTTGTTCTGTCTGGTATGTGGCACATCACTGACACAAAGCTTCCACTTTGTCCCACGGAAGCTGAAGCAGACCACTGCATGCAGCCCAGCACTGAGGAACCAAACAGTGTTCTTAGTAAAAACCCATGGCCTCTCTAGATTAGTTGCTTAAACTGGCAAGAAGCAGACTCTTGAGAAAGGAATGTTGAACCTCAATCCCGTGGCAGTCTAAGAAGCTAACTCTGGTGATTCCGAGCACAGCCTGGGGCAGAAGGTTCTCTGCAGAACTGTCCTTCCTCATGTTCTTAGAGCCTTTCTGGGTGGGGACATCCAACTGATGACAAGGAACAGAATGACAGGTGAGGAGTAGCACTGGGAGAGCAAGGGGATGGAGGAGAGGCAGGTCACAGGAGGCAAGGCACATCTAGGATGGGAAGACTCAACTTGCCTACCTGTTGCTGGGGCATACTGCACAGCACCCACCAGAGGGAAAATCCCAGCGGCCCTGTCTATCCCAGCTGCACCTCTAGAGACAGTTCCTCAGGAGAGACAAGATGGAGCCCTCCAGTGTCGTCACCCCTAAGGTGTTCATTTATAAATCTGGATACTATTCCTTACAATACCAATTCAGCCAGAGATGTTATTAGATACAGGTGGCCCTCCATATCCATGCCTTCTATGCCTGTAGGTGGAGAGCAAACACAGTTTGCTCTGTGAAAGCTACATCTGTACTAAACATGTACGAAAGTGTTTCTAACTAGTGTCTCTAAACAGTCCAGGCTTACTGCACATGCACTTACACTGTGGGAAACCGAAGTAACACCAAGACTCTTGACAGTGCTTGGGGGATGGCTATCGAAGGTTACATACAGTATGCCATTTTATATAAAAAATTTTGGTCTCAACGGAGGGGGTCCTGGAACCATATACCAAAGGATGACTTTGTGTTACAGTCCATTCTGATAAAAACAATCACCCTTTAAAATGCCCTTTCTGTTTTTTTCAGCCTCCATGGTTCACCTGAGGAGCCCCAGGCATGCGAATCACTTATTCTACCAATGACCCCATCTCCAGCCCCTCAAAGACTTTTTTAACCCTGGGAGAAAACTCTCTGATGACATTTGAGAAGTCAGCTACAAGCAACCCTGTTAACTGTTGTAGCAGTGACATACAGACTCAACAGACAAGACAAGGACCACACTATAATACAGGTCACTTCTTTTCTCTTTTTAACCTACAACATTTTTTTTCTGGCTCAGTCAGGCTGTTGCTGAGCATGTTTAAGACCCTGGGTAGATCCTGAACTCCATAAAATAACAAAATACTTTTCAAAATTCTGTATGAGTAAAATTTCATCTTTAATTGTAAGGAAGAGGCAAAACAATGTCGCCTCAGGCATGATCACGGCAGTCACGTTTGTCCTGGGTCTAGTCACAAGGTCTAGACCCAATACCCCACTGTAGGCAGCCTGGAACTGCCCCAGCTCACCTCGCCTCTCTGCGATCTGCAGGTAACCCGTGGACAGGTACTGTTCCATGTCCTGCTGGAAAGCTTCCTCGAAGAACTTCTGCCGCTCCTTCAGCTTCAGCTGCTGGCTGTGCTCCATGTCCAGGACCTTCTGCGTGTGCTCGGCGTCTAGTTCAGCTGAGGAGGCAGAGTGGGGGTGGTGAGAGGTCCAGCAGGGACTGGACAGAGGTGACAGATTCTGCCATAGGAGCCCGCAGCAGCTCCCCCATCAGCACGCTGCGTCCCACTGCTGGGCACCTGACCCTTGTGCCCTCTCTGCTGGGGACCGCCCCCCATCCCGCCTGCTCTTCAGGGCAGGGGGCTCCTCATCCTCACCATCGCTGCTGACTTCTCAGGGGACCCTCCACCTGGGGTGGATGATGATGCCATCTGAAAACGGGTAAGACTTTGAAATGTATTTTATACAGTAAGAAAACTAGAGGAAGAAACATGTACCCAGCCTTGAGAACTGGCTCAGCGATTAAGAGCCACATTCCTCTTCTAGAGGACCAGAATTCAATTCCTAGCACCCACAAAGTGCACCTTATAGCTGTCTGTAACTCCAGTTCCAGGGGATCTGACCCCTTTGCCCTCTGTGGACACTGGTACTTATATGTCCAGAGACAACATACACATAACTCAAAATAATGTAATTAAACAACTGTAAACAGAACAAACAG